AAAAAGGGGGGGGGGGGGGGGGGGGGGGGGCGTACTCTTATGTTTTGCATGCCTTAGCGGTTAGACCATTGACCACGCGTTCTCGAGAGGACGGAGCATTGTTCCCACAGGACCGATCACCGATGGCCAATCGTTCCTTCCTACTTTGCCAAAGGTAGCTCAACAATGTCTTCCCTAGTCTGTCTATCCTAACGATATCCCTTCCCGCCTTTTCAAACCAATTCCTACTCCCCAGTACAGCTACCGTCCTCTCCTCTCTATTCCATGCCTCAAACATCTCCCTGTACGTCCCTTGTATTTTTCCCAGCTCAGTCATGTACACTTCCCTCTCCTCTTCGTACCACGGACATTCCGCGACTACATGAACACGGTCTTCGCATTCGAAGCCGCAATCACATTTGAACTTGTCGTCTTCGTCGTCTACCGTCCTTTGTCTTCGTCGACGTTCTCGAAGGCCTATGCCCCCGGTCCTGAATTTGACCTTAAGCTTTGTCCCTGCATCCATTGGTCCATGTAGGTAATCCTTGAACCCTATTCCTTCTTTCAACATTCCGTACACTTCTAGACCCTCCTTATCCTTGGTTTCTTTCCTTAGATTCTGTTCTTCTCTCACGGCACAAGCAACAGATATCTTCTCCTTCAACCCCTGTAGACCCTCCGTTTCCAGCGTTTCATCTTCGTCGATGTCTAACCCCTTCCATACGTCCTCTACAACCTTGACCCATTCCGTGGGGTGTCTACCCCTCTTTTTGTTTGCCCACTTCGCCTCCCATACTATTTCTCGGTAACCTCTCCTCTCCCATCCCGACATGCGATACTGCCATGTCAGCTCCCTTGCGTCTCTTCCCGACCGTAGGGATTGGATCCCCAATTCTGCCCTGACGGCTGCATTACTTGTGCGCTTGGAGCATGCTAGGATGATTTTCGCTGCTTTCATCTGTCGCCGTTCTTTCGACGTACCTTCTTATTTCCTTCCCATAAGTCTCCGGCGTACTCTAACGGCGGTACGATTACGCTCTTCAAAACCGTCAATTTGATGCGTGTATCGAGGTGCCGGTTCGCGAGTATTGGGTGCAGCTTCCCTGCTCGTGCTTTGCCCTTTTCCGCTACCTTGGACATGTGTGCATTCCACGAGCAGTCTTTTGCGATCTCTACTCCGAGGTATGTGTACTGGTCCACTACCGCAATCTCCTCGATCCCCGACTTCCATCCATGTTCTACTGGTTCCTCCCTGACTTCGTTGCATACCATGACGGCACTCTTCTTAACGTTGGCAGACAATCTCCACTCATCAGTAAACTTCTTCGCCGCGTCAATTTGCAGTTGCAGTCCCTGAGGGGTGTCCGACATACCAACAAAATCATCCGCAAACAGCATTCCTGACACCGAAGTTTCCGTGTCCCCTACTTTAACTCCCTTCCGGACTGCCTCTACGACTTCCAACAGATCGTTGATGAACACCTGGAACAACGTTGGGGACAGCGTTCAACCTTGTGGGACCCCCTGCTCAATGTCGAAGAACTACGACAGTTTTCCGTCTAGCATTACCCCGCTTTTCGTACACTCTGTCATCTTCAGCACTCTCCACATTTTCCCCTTGATCCCGTACTTGAACAATTGTTTCCAGTCCATTTCTCAATACGGTATCGTATGCCTTTTTCACGTCTAGGAAGAAGCAGTACGTCGGCTTTCCCGCCCTCTTTCTACCTTGGATGATTCTCTCTGCCGTGATTGCGTGGTCTACGCACCCTCTCTTCTGTCGGAAACCTGCCTGGCCCTCACTAATGCTACGTTCCTTCTCCAATACTCCCACTATCCTATCGTTCAGCAGCTTACAAAACACTTTTCCTACTGTGTTCAACAGTGTGATACCCCTGTAGTTTCCTGGGTCAGTCTTGTCTCCTTTCTCAAACAAGTCCACAACCACTCCTTCCCTCCATCTACTGGGCGCATACTCATTTTTCCACACCCAGTTGTACAGCAGTACCATCAGCTGGATCACCCCCTTCCCCCCAAACTTCATGAACTCGTTGACTATCCCATCCGCCCCTGCTGCTTTGTGGCACTGCAGCTTGTTCACACACGCCTCAACCTCGTCCTCAGTGAACTCCTTTTCTAGTTCTACGTTCCCAACGTCTGCCTTCGATGTCTCTTCTTCTTTCTGAGCCCATGCGTCCACCTCCTTCTTAAACACTTGGTCAAAAGCTTCATTCTCCGAATGCACTCTAAGTCTCTTGTAGCGTCCTGCTAGAACTTCCCTTTTTCCCTTCCCACTGCTGACTAGTCCACCGTTCACACCTCGCAAAGTTGCTACCCCTGTATCCCCCCCTTGCACGGTCTTTTTTACCATCCCACTAATCCCTTCCCACATCTGCTTGGCGTTCCCCTCCAGGCCTCCGTTGGCCTTCTGCACTACTTCGTCCCAAATGCACTTTTTCTTCTTTTTCACTGTTAGTCCCTTCACCTGTCCTCTTGGCCCTGTACTTTTCCCAACTCTCCTCAGACCCCTCACTCAGGTGCTGCTTGAAGACTTCTCTACGTTCCCTTATTTCTTCTTTCAGTTCGTCATCCCACCACTTGACCGATACCCCACATCGTACCACCTTCTTTCCCACTACTCTCTCTGCCGTTGTGTTCACTATGGACTCCCATCCTTCAATCACCCTGTCCCCTGCTGCTTGTACGTCTACCTGTCCGTCTTCGACGCTTCTCAGCAGCAGTTTCCTGAAGGGTTCTACACTACCAGCCAGCCCCTTCTGGAATTCATCCCGTGTCCCCTCGTCTCCCAAACGCTCTACTTTCCACCGGAACATTTTCCTCTGTTTCTTACTCTCCGTCTTCCTAGGTCGGTCGATGTTTGCCCATATGAGGAAGTGGTCGGTCTAACCTATATCTATCCCACTTACGTGAAGCTCTGGGATCTGTGTGCTCCCCCTATCTACCAGGATGTAGTCGAGGATCGAGTATTCATTGCACACTGCCCTTTGCCTGGTGAACTCCGGCTTATCGCATTCCCTCCTACCGTTCAACACCATCAGCTAGGGGGGGGTGGCGGAAACATGTTGGCTCAGGGTTTGTGTGTGTGTTTTGGGGCGGGGGACATACATACATACGCGGGGATATCCGTCTCATGTACTGGTGAGCACAGCGCACGTGTGTGACGCAAGGATGATATCTCTCTCTTTCTCAAGTGCGCTTCGGATGAGCAGAGCGCTTGAATGTAGAGGTCACGGGCGGGTGACCTGACGTTTTCTAACTCAACACGACGAGAGATATAGAGAGCGAGAGAGAGAGAGAGAGAGAGAGAGAGAGAACGACATGCGGTTTTGGCGTCTGATGGTAGAAGGGGGCTTGGGGTCGCCGTCGCGATTATTAACAGCCCCACTTGTTTGTTTGTTTGGTTATGTTTCGATCAACCATATTCGTGTCTTTCGTGGTCAGACGTATCTGGTGATGCCATGGGAGGGTATTTCTTGCAAGCCGAATTCTGTTCGGGAGTACGGTGGCGTTTCGATTTCAGTCCGGAAGTACGGGAGAGGTTAGAGAGAGAGAGAGAGAGAGAGAGAGAGAGAGAGTTGGCACTCACGCGTCACGGCGAAGGTTCTCGAGGTCGACCCAGAGCCCCTTGGCACGGTCCTTGATGTCGTTACGTTCGAGGCGAAGCCGTTCATTCTCGGCGGAGAGAGTAGCCTCCTTCTCTTCGAGCTCGTGCCGAAGTTGATCCATCTGCGATCCACCCACCATTCGATTTTTGGAACATTAACCCACAACGGATGGGTGGCATCCACGGCGGCGGTATACGAGCGACAGCAATTGCATGAGGAGCTAGTATCCTTGCGGCTGAGAAGAGGTTCGTGCAGTCACTCCGACCAGCATGAATAGCATAAGAGAAGGTAATTGAGCAGAGATCGGAACGGCTTTTAACGCGAAGAAAAACAACAGCGAGAATAAACATTGCCAAGACCTTGGGTGAGTTAAGGCACTTACCAGAGCCTTCTTGGCGCGGCGGTCGTCTTTCAAGATCACAATCCGCTCGCGGTACTTGGCAACCTTCTCCAGCGCTTCCTGCCAAAACAAAGAAGAAAAAAGCGATGGGAAACGTGCACGTCGTGGTTTCGAACCGGGTGCCCAGTGACGAGAGATTAGAAACCCAACAGAGACGAAGGTGGGCAAGAGGGAGGGCCTCGTTGTAAGCGGGTCAAACAAACAGAACTTCGCGCCAGAACGCTTAGCGTGAAACAACGGGGACACACACCGGAGGGGACGAAAAACAACAAGCCCCCCCCCCGGCAAGGCTGCCTGGTGTCGTGTCTTTTTATTTGAAGTCGGCAAACGCTCATGTTCCAGAAGATGGTATGCTTTTCGTTCTCTCGCAAACGCTCTTCTCGTTGACTTCTGAATACCGAAGGCTCTCCGTTGGAAGGCACTACGGGTTCAACTACTGCTGCTCTGTGTTATTCGACGAACTAAGGAACCACTCAAGACCGCATCAGCACAAACAACAGCAACTGAAAAACGGGCTCAACTATTACTCATTTTTCGACCAACTAATTAAGCACTCAAGACAGCATCCGGACAGCAACTGAAAAACGGCCTCAACTGATGCTACTCCTTTTTCGACGAACTAACTCCCAAGACAGCATCAAACAACTAGGCTCAACCAAAACAGCAACAGCACCAGCACCTCAATTCCTGCCACGTTCCGATTTGTGATGGCCCCGAGGGACGCGTCTCCTGCCCTTGCCAAGCCGTTTTTCTCGAGAGACGGGCCCAGGTCAAACGAAGAGATCGAGCGCGAGTGGCTCAGCGCCTTTTTCGAGGTAGGGGTCTCCCCGGGAGAAGGCGTCGTTACGGACGAAAACATCCTCGGCCTTTTCAGCTCGAGGTCGTCTCCCTCCGCCAGGAGGATGCAGAGGTGCGTGTGGACCACCTGCGTTAAAAAACAACGAGCAGTGGGCATGCGAAAATGAAAAACAAAGTGGGTGTTGCTTGTACCTCACTGCGTGTCCTTAGGCTAGCTAGCACATGCGGCAGTCGTCCCTTTGCGCCCCCCCCCCGGTCGGCAGAGAGTACCCTCTGACAAGAAGCACCCTCACAGGGCCCCAGATCATGGCCTTTAGAAGTGTTCGTGTTTTCAGCGGCACTGAGAGTGATGGACGTCTGTTCACTGGTCAGCCGGCTAGCGCGGTAGATGCTGATAATCAAAACACACAGACACTCAAACATACAGGGTCGTCGATGCTCACAATCAAGACACAAACAAACACACACTCCTGTGCCCCCCGCCCGTCGGTGGAACCCGTACCCTTTCATTTTTTTTTATCCCGCTAAAGACCCACGTCCTTCTTTTGTAGCGTGGAGGGTACGTTGGTAAGTTAGACCACGAAATGATGGTCATAATCAAAACATTTACGTACTGTACGTAGCGTGGTCGAATCCAAACTTTAAGAACACTATGCGGGATAAACACCTGCGATGGCTCCTTGTCCTCTTGTCCCGGTCGTCGGCTACCACCCCCTGTCGGTGGAACCGTTATCCTTTCAATTTTCTATATCCCGCTAGATGACCCACGTCTTTTCATTGGTCGAATCCAAACTTTAAGATAAGATAACATTGCAGGGTAAACACCTGCGATGGCTCCTTGTCCTGGTCGTCGGCTACGATGTCCAAGATCTTGCGGGTGAGCTCCCCCGGCCGGGCCACGCGCAGGCTGCCGGGCAAGCACTTGTCGTGCCAAACCTCCATGTTGTTCTTCGCAGCGATCTGCCACAACAGAGATCGATGACGATGTGTCCGTTCAGAGGGGGGTTACCGACAAGGCCTTCGTGGGCGATAAACCTTAACTGCGGAATAGAAATAGAGGCAGGCATTCTTAGCTCAGGCTCAAGTCGCGCCCTGCGGCCTCGCAGCAGCGGCCTCTCACGGCGAAGCGGCGGAATCACGCCTACTCGGAACACATCTCTGTCATGGTACATACTGCGGGGTCTCTTTTGCTCTCTGGGAGGACGACGACGGCGGTGTGTGTGTGCGAAACATATTCCTACCGCTGTTGCTGAAGTCTCATGGCTTTAGCTATAGGTACAAGCCACGGTCACACACAGACAGGTCCACACACATGTTACTTGTGCGCCCAGGTTCAACGCTCTGTTCAAGAAATAATTGCAGTTTCAGACAAGCGTGAAAAGTGTGTTGAGGAGCATGATGACGAACGCTTCTCGCGACTTCGAAGCGGCATCTATCCTTCTTTCCCGCTGTACACCATCACCGTCCCACTCGGTACAGTACTGCGTTTGAAGCCTAAAACTGTCGTATCACATTTACCGTTTCGTATGTATGCACATCCGCCTCAAACGGAGGAAGAGGCGGAGGGGCGTAGACCCCCCCCCGTAAACCGCTCTTGAAAATATAGCCTTTTCTTTCCCAGACTCCGGATCGCATGCGACGGCTAAGCGGAACACGAATCGTTAGCATAATGTGCTCATTATTACAGGAAAAATAAATACGCACAGAAGGACTACCCGCTCATGTACCACATCAGACGTGTCAAATACTCTGTCCGGTGACCACTGAAGGTGTCCAACATTTTTTTTGTTTCATCATCACCCTACATGAGCGCTGACAGCAGTAATGTCTGGGGGATAGGAGCTACAGTATTTAGCGCAATATCCGTGGTCACACAGAAGGGTTCCTCTCCCTGAGGCCCCGCCCTGCGATGCTTGAATTTGATATATAACGCGACAAGAGTGTGGGACTCTCTTCCCTCCAAAAATACACACGAACGACAATAGTAGTGGCGCCTTCCACCTTCCGCGACCAGGAACGGAAGCGAGAGAAAATCTCCTGTTGTTGTATCAATTTACTTGGGAGAAAATCGCTTGCTTAAGGGCGCGGGGGGGATCGCAGTACTTCCTCTTCAAAAAAACAGGAAACGCCTGCATATATCGGTTTCCAAAGTCTAACTCCAGTACGAAACTACCATCGTAAATTAACCGCCCGCAGCGGTCGCTTGTGTACAATGTTAGTGGCTGAGGTTGTACCCCTTGCGATACACTACAGACTACAAGCGGTCCGCGATTTTCCAAACGATCCTTCTATCATCGAGTTCGGTGAGCTACAAGCTAGATTTTTGAAGCTGCTGTGTGGTCCAATTTTGAAACGCTTCAAGCACACGGTGAACACGAATCACCGTCTATGTGAGTGTATGGGGACGCGAACTTCAGCGCAGCTCTTCCCTCACATATCCAGCTGGTCGCCATTGTCGATTTGAATGCCTAGGGTCATGTATATGCATGTCCAGCCTTTAGGCAAAGGTGCTTGATTCGTTTCAAAATTGGACCGCACAGCAGCTTCAAAAATCTAGCTTGTAGCTCACCGAACTCGATGATAGAAGGATCGTTTGGAAAATCGCGGACCGCTAGTCTGTAGTGTATCGCAAGGGGTACAACCTCAGCTACTAACATTGTACACAAGCGACCGCTGCGGGCGGTTAATTTACGATGGTAGTTTCGTACTGGAGTTAGACTTTGGAAAACCGAGATATGCAGGCGTTAACTGGATTTTTCAGAGGAGGTACTGCGATCCCCCCCGCGCCCTTAAGAGAAGAACTCCTCTTATTTTATGCTATTCACTTGAAGAAAAGCGTTCGCTTACTCCGGGATTCGAACCCCACAAGCGTTCGACCGTTAAAAAATGGTGGTGGTACCGCCAGCGAGTAGAGACCGCAACAGGGTTGTCTTTTCCGATGCGAAGGCACCAAAAACAGGCGGCGGGGGCCCGGCATGGCTTCACAAGGCCAGACGGCAGAACAACTGAACCGGCTGGGTCGGGTGCGCCTACAAATGGAGCTACTACACGTACAGCTTGTGGGCCTACGTGCTGTGGGTCAACCATGCCCGACCTTTCAATCACCACGGGGGCGAAAAACTATTTTAATTAAGGAATAATAAAAACACACACAGAAAGACTACCCATTCGGGATATACCCACAGTCGAACAAAATGTGGTGGAGTCTTTTCAGTGAGTGGAGGGAAACTGGCTGGGTACTGGACTTATTTCGAGTCTTTTTAAGTCTATACACTGATGATTTATACCAGTGATGCCAGCTGGTGCTAAGTACAAAAACATCTGTATAGGTAACTTACATTTTACAATACATCCCCTGTAGTTCTCTACTATTTTGTTCGAGGACTTCAACACTCCATTCCATGCCTTCTCTCCAATCAGGAGCGGGCAGTCTTTTTTTCGCGTCATCATGGCCTGTTCATCCCAAAATATACGTAACATCGGTATAATGCATATGGTATGCGTCAAAACTCTCAAAACCACGAAACAAGAGTACTCTTGGGGTTAAAAGCAGCAGCAGCAGCAGCAGCAGCAGCAGCAACAACAGCAGGCAGGTGGCCGTGTGGGCGACGCGAGAAAAAAACAAAATAAATAGCGGATGCTACCGAACACGAACGAACGTCTGGAGTCGGAGCTTCATTGCTTGGAAATTCCGCACATCCTCCATTGACTGGAGTCACCCCCCTATGTAGTCTGTTCGTGCCGAGATCGCGGTCTAACGAAGACAGCTGCACAAGAAGTTATTGTTGCTTCTTCGAGAGCATCTCTAACTCTCACAATACTAAAAGGGTTTGGTTGATCCCCTGACAATCATGATGATCGGGATCGTGGGGGGGGGTGGTCTGTTCCCCCACAAAGCAAACACGACACATCAATGGCAGTGAGTCACACGTCTTTCCTCCGAGGGTACACATTTTTCTGTGCATTCGCAGAAGAAGCGCCCGATGGAAACCGGCACTTTACGCACGCCTACTATAATACTAAAATACTGATGTAGATTTAGAATTCCATGTTCTTGAACGGAACAGTTTTTGTTGTCTTAACAGCTTCGAAAGGTTTAAGGGTTTACCCCCCCTTTAGGTCGGGCAGTTGGCTTGTGACCACGGAAGCCGTCCGCGCCAGTTGGACCAGTACGGACATTAGAAGGTACTGAGTGGAGACCGGCACGGTATACGATGTGGAGACAACAACAACAACAGCTACTACACGAGTCTGTTCATCGCGGCAGTTCTACATCATTCGCACAACGAGACAACCATAGGAAACGCGTTTTTTCTAGACGCATCTACCCGAATAACCGACCTAATAGTCAAAGAAACAAAAAATAGAGGTACTGTACTAAAACAAGGTGCCATGCCACCGGTGGATAATAGCGTACGCGATGTTTTTGGGGACGCTCAAACAATTTTCTGCAGAGGAGAAATGGCGAGGTAATGTAATGCAAGCGCATGCCCTCGAGCAACAACAAAAGAGGTCGAATGAACGCACGCGGCTGCTGGCTTGGGCAGAGAGAGAGGGGGGGGTAAAACACAATATGTAGCGTATGAATAATGCACCATGAGTGCATACGTCGTTATTCTTGATGTTTTGGACACAAGGACGTATTTTTTCCTCTTCCACGACCGTCTCCACCGCGATGCCTGAGGGCTGCTAGGAGATAATGTGCACAATAATCTAACAGCAGATAGATCTTCTTCAGCTGCTTCCGGTGCACGTGAGGCCAGCGTGGCGTTCTGCGCACTATTATTACCCCGTGATCACTCTCTGTTTGTTCTGAATGGACCATGCCGACACGCCGACCGCTGCTTGGTGTACAGCGGCCACGCAGGGGGGCAAGAAGTTCGTACGAAAATTCATCATTGTACAGCCTACCCGAGGTACTCTCCAAAAAGAAAAAAACTTGGAAGGCAAAATTCCTTGACGAGAGAACAACACACAAACCGGAGACAGACGACAAAAAAAGAGGCGAGAGTTCAACTCACCTCCGGCGAAGAGGGTATGAAGACCATGGCCCAGTTCATCACCACGTGGGAGTCCCACAGCGCCCGGTGCCCTTCCTTCAGAGCGCCTATCCACCAGAGCCCGGTTTGTCCGTTGAGCCAGCCGTCCAATACATTAGCCGGCACCGGAGTTACGGCCTTATTCTTGACCCCTTTCTGCAGGCAGCAGTGGAGGCTGCCCGCGACCGCGTTGACCCACACAAGGCCGCCCAGGTTCGGCCGCTTCTTGTCGATGGTGGAGGTGATGGTCTCCGGCGGGGGCCCGCTGTCCGTCACGTTGGTGTGCTTGGAGAGGTTGAAGACCCAGCGCGCTGAGCAGCAGCAGCAGCAGCGAGGAGCGGCGGCACATACCCAAAAAAAGATGAATATTTGAAAAAGAACGATAAAAATCAACAGAGGAAATAGACCGAGGCGCATTGGGATACTCACCTACATGCAAGACTGCTACACATGTAGTCTAGACTAGTCCGGTACTACAACAGCAGCAGACATTCATCTTGGAACGAACGACCGCATAACAAACACACCTCGTGGCTCCGGTCTCGAGACGTGGTAAAGGAGGAGGTTGGGCTGCACCGGCGCCTGCGGGCTGAACGTGGTGGGCGACGGCGCTCCCGGCCCAACCAGAGCCATCTTGTCCCCCACGGATTGACTTCTCTTCCTGAGCGCTCTCCTGGTCTCCGCGGTACGTCCAGTCCTGCTTCGCCCGACGCTGAGGGGACGCCCTGACCCTCCTGCGCCGCCGCTGCCGCCGCCCTCCTGCGCAGCAGACGGCTGGCTTCTGTAGCGGCCGGGGGTGTTGGTCACGCGCCGGCGGTCGGGATCGGGCTCGGGCTCGCCGTCGAACCTCCTGTCCAGCCTAAGGTCGCTCGAGCTCCTCCTCTCCCTCGGCTGCAGCTCGGTGGCGTCGTACCGGTGCTCCTCGATCCCGCTGCTGGCTGGTCTGACGAGGCCACCGCTACCGCTGCCGCCGCCGCCGCCGCCACCGCCGCCGTCCTGGCTCCTCCAGCGCCTCTGATGCTGCTGCTGCTGCTGCTGCTGCTGCTGCTGTTGCTGCTGCTGCTGCTGCTCGGCTAAGGGAGGGGCAGAATACCGCCCGCGAGGCACAGCAGTGGCTGACGGGGGGTTCTGCCTCGGAGGGAGAACTTGCTGCTGCTGCTGCTGCTGCTTTTGTTGTCTGGGTGCGGACGGCGGGGGCGGCGAGCTCCGTCGAGGAGGTGGCTCGTCGAACTGCTGCTGCTGCTGCTGCTGCTGCTGCTGCGAAGGAGAGGGCCGGCTAGTGCTGCTGCTGCTGTCGCCCTGAAGGAGGAACGGGTACGGATCCCTGCTCCCAACTGCGCCGTCATTCGGGGATTGGGGAGAGGGTGGGAACGGGGGCGGTTGCAGCTGCATCCCTTTCGCGTTTGTTATCGCGCTCGTCCGTGGTCGGCAGAGCTGGCGGGCAGCAAGAAAAGACGGCTGGCTGCTGTGTGTGTGTGTACTGCAGCACAGCAGCAGTAGTAGCGCCTTCTTTCTCTCTCTCTCGCGCGCCTTTGAAAAAACACACCACGCGGGAGGAAGAGGAGAGGAGAGTTGTGGCGAAAAAGGGAGAAGTAAAGGTGGCTGTTGGTTCAGGTGGTCAGCAGCATGTATGTGTGTGTGTTGTTGCATACAAGAAACAGGAGCTTTCGTGTCGGAGCTCTTCCCATTTCCCGGCTTCGGCGCCCTTGCGCTTAAAAGATCCCTGCACTGGCATTCACATTTTGCGAACAACCGAGATCTTGTATCTTTCGGCTACCTACTGTATTGTCGGCCAGTGGGGCAAAAGTGCCACGTAGTCATCATAATCCTGTCTGTAGGCACTCACACACACAACTCGCTCACTTACTACTTGTTGACCTTACCTCGATCTGCAGCCGCGACTCACGAATATGTGTGCGCGTGCGCAAAGAAAGGTCGCACTGCTGTGCGCTTCACATGCATGTGTTAGTTACCGCGATCAATTTAAAGAAGAAGAAGAGAGCTAGCAGCGTTAATTTTTATCGGCGGTATCCAACGGGTGGATGGTCGTGGTGGTCCCACAATAGGTGATGGAGAGGAAAGAGAACGAACGAACGGAGAAAAGACACAAGGCGGAGTACGCAGACTGGCACGGATAAGCATCCTTAGATACCCCGATCCCGTGCCGTGCAGTAAACAATACACCGTGGCCCTGTGCCTACAGAGAGAGGTTGCACAAAAATAGATTAGCGTGGAAGTAAGTTTCGCAGCCAGTCAGTCAGTCTGAAGGCAAGGCAACAACCAACCACTTCTACTAATAACATGAGACATTTCTTAGTTGTTAGCCTAGAGACTGGTACTTCTTCTACATGTACACAAGAACAAACAGAGTACCATCTGAACAAAGAAAAAGAACAACAGGAGTATTTACAGCGCACGGTAATTCAAACATGATCCAAGCGTCATGTTGTTGTAATGTATAATAAATATATACATACATGTATCCAAGATCTTTTCTTGATCTATCGCCACAACAACCCGTCAGCCAAACATGACACGTTATTATACAGACACATACATACATGCACATACATACATACATACATACATACATACGTCGTGTGCCTACGATAGGGTTCCTCATACAGAATAGACTGTTGAAAGAGAGCTTTCTTTCCAAAACGACACACACTACTACCACACAGAGAGAAGAGGAGGCCCAACAGTTAGTTGTACTTCTACATACACAAGAAGAAGACTACAGCAGCAGCACCGCGGGTAGTGCAAAAAAGTAGTAGGTAACGTGCAGCCGCGCAGGCAGTCAACGAGCCGAGCTACTGTTACTGTAGATGCATTCAACTCACGAGCAACCAGCCGATAACAATAATAACGGGGGGGCATGTGCATACATCCATCATCCATCAATTACATTCATCCGAGCCCGAAGAACGGGGTGTATATTTTATTCGAAAAGTGTGCAATCAAGATATGCAATGAGCAGAGTGGTGCTGTGACACAATCGTTGAAGGCTTTTCCACACAGCTGCTTCCTTCCTTCCACAGATGCAACATCACTCCGAACGGGGTATTATCAAACGGGTAGTCGTTCTTGAATGGATATACATTATGGAAGTTTCTTAAAAATCGATGCAATTAAGCCTCTGTGTGACCATGGAAGGAAAATCTACGTCAGTTGGCAGCGGTAAACTTAATTAACAATACTGGTTACGGAAAACGGTTTCCAATTGAAGACAAAAAGAGCAACATCAACAACAACATCGATGCCAAAGCTGCTTCCTCCAGTGTGCGCAATGAATGTACGAACGATGCCGTCTCTCCCATTGTAGTGCATCAAGGCCCATCCATCCATCCATGCGCCCCACCACCTTGTTGCCATATTGTGCACTACTACTGCTGTATCGAGAAAAAACAACAACAACGGTCTTATGTATCTATATGGACCACCCGCACACCGCACAGCGCATGATCGATGTCTCACCGACGAAACGGGCAGACCATCATCGGTCAAAAGTAGTTTTCTGGCTGGCTCAGTTTGAAGGGGTGCACTAGGCTTCACTTTCTGCGTACCGCCACAACAACCCCCCCCCTCCCCGCAGAAAAGAAGACAGCGTGAACAAATGACGAGCAAGTCGACTATTATTTTTTATTTTTATCTCTCTCTCCTCTCACGAGTCTCATCTCATCATCTAGGTGTGTATCGTATCCAGCCGGCCGGAGAGAGGGTGTACTCATAGTCGTGCATGCCCTAGTCTTTGGACCATTGACCTCGCATCCCTGCAAACCCGGGACGGAGCGCGCTGGGGTAATCCGACTATCCGACTAATGCATGGCTAGTCCGCCGTCCGGACTGCGGGGGTCAACCAGTGTCTGCTCTCATCTACGTTGAAGGGTGCACTAGGCTTCGCTTTCTGCGTACCGCACTTACAGCATCAACGCGAACAACAAGTTGAACTTTTTATCTGTGTGTGTGTGTGTCTCTCTCTCTCTCTCTCCCACGAGCCAGCTGTGTATCCGCCCCGGGGCAATCCGGTACCTCACACACAGCATCAACGCGGAACAACAAGTTGAACTTTTTATCTGTCTGTCTGTCTGTCTGTCTCTCTCTCTCCCACAAGCCAGCTGTGTATCCGCCCCGGGGCAATCCGACTGCACCTCCAGCACTGCACGCAGGAGTCTCTGGAATAACCCGAGTCCCCATATGGTATCTACCCGAACAACCATCCAACGTTTCACCCAAACCCAGGCATTGCTCCCAGGTTACTCTTCATCGTTTCTTCCCGGGCTGTCGGCCGTCACACAATAAGCCCATTTCTATGAGGAGAGCTAGGTAGGGTGGCACAGCAGTAGTAGAGAGTGGTGCTAAGGTTCTACACTTGTACGCACACACATCCCCACCACCACTAACACCAACACCGACACCAGGCAACCACAGATACAATGACGACGCCGAAAAACAAAAAACCAGTGCTGTAGTAATCGAAACAGCGGCGAAAACAATACCACGCTGATATCGTGCGCGCAGAGGTGCAAGATAGAACAAGTAGCCGGTAGGACAGGGGCGCCTTGCCAACATTGATCCTAACACCTCTCGTGTTGAGTCCGTGATTCAAAGTTTCGTTTTTTTTTCCACCAACCGAGTCAAGCTTGCTTGTACCAACACAGCAGCGCTGCTATTATTCTATCTATCCACTCCTGCTCGATTGGACCAAAACAATCACTTGGTTGGACGAAAACAGTCACGCCTGCTGCTGGCTCCGGGATGGCGACAAGTCCTGTCAAGCACCGCACCCAATGAGCGATCCGATCCGGTCGCGCGGCTCGCTCGCCGCAGCGCTGTACGATCGTATCACACGAACGACGAGTGCATGCGCACCACCTACAGAAGAAGGAAGCCGGCACGCTTCTAGCCCGATGACGAAAAAGAAAGCAATTGAAGGAGGTAAGGACATGCACCGCCGTGGGCAAGCACCAAACGAAGTCAGTCGTAACCGCCCGCCCCCAACCGGCACGCAGCATTCTTATCAGAACCATTATCCACCACGAGCATGGAACAGCGGCAAGCCTAAAAGGGGGATTTGAAATCTCCGTCGGCGTGAAGGCAACACTCTCAAGGGGACGTACTGTAGGTCTAGTCTACTACCCGGCATCTAACAATCACCACGGAGGTGTGCATACGACCAACCCCCTTCCTCCTTATCCCACACCTTTACCTCCCAAAGCCCCGACAAAATTGGACTCCCGCACGCCGCCAACACCGCTCGAGTACAGATGGATTGCTCGTAGACCCACCCCCTCACGGCGCTTCGCGCTTGGTGACGTGAGAGAGAGCCTGGTCCAGTGGGACGTGCTCCGTCCCGGCGTTGTCGGGATGCGACGTCATGGTCTAACAATTACGGCATGCACGGCTATGAGTACCCCCCCCCCCCCCCCCCCCCCCGGATGCCCCAGGGGGGAAATTCCGCCCAAGGGGTTGGCCCTTACACCCTGGGTGTGGCCCTTGTGGGGGGAGGGGGGGGGGGGCTCAGCCAGTTTCCCCGCACGCGCTTAGAATGCCACCAAATACTCCACCCCGGGCGGCCGGATCACTCACCGCCTTCGCCCTCAACATCTCAAAAACAAAAAAAATGTATTTCGGTTACTCCCTCTGTTGCAGAGACTCGGGCGCGTGTGTGCGCGCCTGCCGTAGTCATCATGCCTACTCCCCAAAATGGATCTATCCTGCGGCAAGAAACAACAAAACTGTCGAGAAACACAACTCAAGGACACACGACGCACAAAATCTAATACCCCCTCTCTCAAGAAAGGCTCCTCCTACCCGAAGCGTCCGCCATCGAAGAGGCTCAACGTGCGCATGTGTCCTTTACTCAGGCTTCAAACGACTTCCTTTCACAACACGACAGGGAGTTCCGATGCCCTTGTCTCTCGTACCCCCCCCACTACTCCCCCCCGCCCCCTTTGGAGAAAAAAACGCATTCCAACAAACGACAGAACCCAGTCACCACACAAACGAAACAGAGAAAGACCGTTCAACGCATAGCTATCTACTCTCGGATCTCTGTTCCCCGCCACTTGACCCTACCCTCCTCCAAGGCCCAGGGGACAGGGGATACCTTCACCCAGGGGATAGGGGGTACCTTCACCCAGGGGACAGGGGACACCTTCACCCAGAGGATACCTTCATCCAGGGGATAGGGGATACCTTCACCCACAAATAGGGGATACCTTCATCCAGGGGACAGGGGATACCTCCACCCTCCTCCAAGGAGGTATGGATCACTGTAGGCTTCAACTTCTCCCCTCTGTTTCCCTCACCCCTCCTGCAGCAGCAGCAGCAGCAGCAGCAACAGCATCAACTCGATCCCTTCGTCTCCGCTACCCCTCCTCCAGCAGCAGCAGCAGCAGCCCCGGCGGCGGGGGCGGCGGCGGGGGCGGCGGCGGCTTCACCTTCCCCTCCGTTGTACGAAGCACCACCGCCACCCTCGTACTCCGACTCGTCCTCCTGCTTCGCCTCCACCGCAAGCTGGTCGGCAATTATGTACTTGACCCTGCCAGCGATCAGTTTCGTTTTGGGGGTTCGGGCTGTCACAACGGTTGCCCGGTTGGGCTAATCGTTTTTCAGTTTGGGTTGTTACAACGCTTGCCGCGCTGGGCTATATGGGTCGATTCTAGTGGCCGAAATCGCGTGCGGCGCAAGAATTGGTCGCTGTCTTGGGCTAGCACAAAGCTTGCCTGGCTGGGCTACACGAAGTTGGGTCGATTCAATTGGCCGAAATCGCGCGCAGCGCAATAATTGGTCGCTGTCTTGAGATCTTGTTGTCGCAACGCTTGCCGAGCTGGGCAATAGATATAATTTGGGTCCAATACGTCGGTCGAAAGCGCGCCCGGCGCAACAACTGGTCGTTGTCTTGATAATATTTGTCGGCTTGTTGTCTCCTCGTTGCCATCGGTTGCCGAGCTGGGCAATGTCATCTAGGCCGGTTCTATTGGCCCGCATCGCAGTATCTACCGATCCATTTCTCTTGTTACACTTCCTGTTCGTCCGGTTCTATGGCTGAAATGTGCCGTTCGTTTCTCTCTCGTCTTTGTTACCTGGGTGCTTGAACCGGACCGGTGCAAAAAAAAAAAAACATAAAAACTCAGCGATAACTGTCATTCACCACCACCGGGTGACCAATATGCCGGCCAGTCAAGTTTCGCGACACCGCCGTTGTTTTTCGGAGAACTCACCTGACGCAGCACTTTCTGAAGAGTTTCTCGAGGAGGTCGTAGGGCGCCTCCATCATGAGCACGTTGTGCAGGGTCATCAGGATGCCCCCGATTTTTCTCAGCCTTCGCATGAGGCGGAACTTATCGAACGAGCTCACCGGTTCGATCGGCTTGAAGGAGTTGGCGCTGATCACCTGCGTGTCGTTGGAAGTTGTCGTCGTTACACTAGGTGTCTTAGACATTCGATCACTATCTTGTGATAATGTTAAGAGTCTTTTGAGATTAGAACGCTACTATTGTCGTCTCTCCAATACCCCGTCGTGTTGTTGTGGTACAAACTGCGTAGATGTTGGACCCCTAAGCTTGACTTGCCTCTATTGCGTCGTTCTCCTTTCCGCACGACGTCTAACTCAAAATGTGTGGCAAATGAAATGCGGGTTCACCCAAATGAAGGCACAAGCCAGCGTGCTGAGCCGACAAAAGCACAAACAAAAAAATAGAAAGCCTCTTCTCCACCACATTGAAACACCATCCAAACACAACTGATCGCGAGATATTTGGCGCTGACCGCATGTGCGGTAGAGTTAAAAGTGTTGGAGCCAACAGGTACACCGGAAACTGACTCTGTAATTCGAGGGCTTTTTCAGCCGATCAACAACAACAGCAGTAGCAGGAGTTCACGGTGGGCACACACAAAAAAGGTACACAGTTTCACATAAAAAGACACACAGCTTCACAGTACACAACAAAGGTACATACCGTTGCGAGTCAGCGCACAGGGATGCGAACGATCTTCCAAGCGTAATTTCTCCACAACCAGGAGGTTAGAATACCACTGCTGCTGTCGAAAAGGGCGGTTTTGGAAATATCTCATCGAGATCTTTCCTGACAAGTATCAGTTGGCGCTCGCACCCTTCTGGCTGTGGAGAAATTACGCTTTGAAAATCGATCGCACCCCTGTGCGCTGACTCGCAACCTTACGGTAGCCCAGCGTCGCCACCCGCAGCTTCCGCGACAACAACAATCAATCCTGTGGCCAACAATACAACAGGCATCACCACAAGCACGAACACCCTTCACCTGGAAGATAGAGCTGTCCAACGGCTCTCCCACCGGAACTGTTCGTCGCGCGCCAGGGGTTTCGCGGATTCCGTGGTGATGTACCGCGGCATCAGGGGCGGCGGGGGGGGGGGGGGGGGGGGGGGGGGG